GGTGACGAGTTTGGGCTGTCTTGCAGACTTCAGGTTCGTCATTCCGATATCGCCCGTCTTAACATTGTCTTTGTCGTCTTCTGTTGCCTCTGCAGTATCTGCCTTTTTCTTCAGCTCTTCTTTACTGAAGTAACTAGATATGTCCGATTGCTGCCTCTTTGGTCCTCCTCGACCTTTGGTATCTTGTTTCTTGGGTCGCCCGCGTCCTTTCTTCGGTACCGTGTCTGCTTCTTCCGTATTCGCTGTCGCCGTTTCGTTTGCTGTGCTTCTGCGCGTGGCTCGTCTCTGCGATTCGGCTGCCGTCTTCTCCGCGTTCCTTTCACGTGCAGAGGTCTCGCCTCTACTCTTCTTGTCTTGCGCCTCTTCCTCTTCCTCCTGCTTTTGCATTTGCTGGAGCATCACTGACGCATACAACTTCGATTTGTTCATGAGAAACTCCAATTGCTGGAACTTTTTATCCAATACCTCCTTGCCACTCTTAATGTCTGCCTTTCTCTCCTTCTCTAATTGCGCGTCGCGCTTCGCGTCTTCTTTCTCACGCTGTATCCTCATGCGCTCTTCTTCCTCCTGCATCGATTGTGGCACGTTTTCCTTTTCCATAGTGGCAGGTGGCGGTGATGACGCAGGCGTAGAAGGGGATATAGACATCGCGCTCATGGCAGGGAGTGATGAGATCGTGCAACAGGCCAGAAATTAAAAACAAGAAAGAAGTATCGCAATGTAGTAACTTCCAATTCTATTGTTAGGGATAAGTGGCGACAACCTTTTGAACGGGGTGGCTGTCTATGGGGGTCGCGACAAAGGAAGACGCGCTAGGCGAGAAATCGATGACGATATTTCCAACGCGCGATCACGCCCCTGAACTTAATTACTTTACGGCACACATCAACCACTTTGAGCCCCACTATTCTTTTTCCACATACGCCCATGCTTGATGGAGTGAAATAAACAGCTACATGTTGGTTTACTCATAAAGCCAGTCGATAGAAAACAGCGTCTTCTGGGTTCTCATAATAGCTCTCAATCTCCACAAACCCATACTTCTCGTATAATTTCCGCGCAGGCGTCATCGTCCTCAGTGTGTCTAGCAACATATTCTTGTAGCCCCATTTCCTCGCATAGGAGACTGCAACATCCATCAGGAGCTTCGACACACCAAGCCCTCGCGATTCTGGGGCCAAGAAAAGTCTTTTGAGTTCGCACGTTGTGGTGCTTGATGAAGTCGAGTTCGCTAGCAAAGCTGAGGATTCGGCGGTAGTCGGCGTAGTGAAAAATGGCCGTATGGCTATGCACCCGACCGCCCTTTCATCCCTTGTCGAGCTGGCGTCGGGCTGTGTTTTTCCATTCATTCCAAGTGATGTTGTTGACGATACTGGTTCCGACACATTGGATGATGCGTACGCCAACCATATTGCGCCTCCTTTCTCAATTGCATATTTTCCCGGCAATTCTGCCAGCTCATGTTCGAAGTTTTGGAAATCGAGGCTAACAGGAAGTGATTTTGCATAGGCAAGGAACAATTGTTCCACAGTTTGTTTGTCTTCTGGGAAGACGGCGAGGCGAATATTCACGTTCGGCTGAGCCATGTTCGCTTGCGTGTAGTGTGTATGGCAGATCCAGGTATGATGGCTCAACCGGAGAACAAAAGAATTAAAAACATTTCATTCGTGATTAGCTCATAAAAAAGCCTTATCAAGCCGAGATATTGTCTACCCCATGCCGTTACTTGGAACGTTCTAGTCGTGATAGTGACAGCGTAGGGCGTGCCGTTGTTGTATTCGTATTCGCCAAGTGCGACAAGTAGGTTCGAGTCATCTCGGAACAGCCCCACTTGCAGATGGACATCACATGCTGCTCGCAAAATCAACATTTTACGGACAATATATTATATTATATTCTTCATTTCTTCATCGAAATCACGTGTTTGGTCTTATGGTCTAGTGGTATGATTCTCGCTTAGGGATTTCCCGAGCACAGCTTGCGAGAGGCCCCGCGTTCGAGTCGCGGTAAGACCCATTCATTACTTTTTTGCCTTTTTGCCAGGCATCGTATCTTTTTGCTACTTGTGGTAAAAGGCACAGAAACCGAAGTGTGAACTTTTGGCGCGAAGCTGTTGTTTTTGCATACTTCCAAGTGCCATATACTTTTAAAGAACGACAGCGGATCACGCACTATGAGTGGTTGATACTCACACAGTTCTAAATTGAACAATACTTTTTACATTTAATATACTTTTTCGAACTCATCACAGGTCGTGGAACACATACAATACATGGTTCAATATTGATCCACGATGAGAATGTTATTCTAGGTGGCTGTAGAGCAGAGTGACGATTGTCCCAGCTAAGCTTAATTCATGATTTTCGTCTGTAGGATTCAATTCTGGGGTATTCCATCTTGAATAAAGGAGATCCGGACCTCAAAAGGTCATGCAATTGAACCCGAACAATCCATACATACCCGTTTATTTGGATTTATTAGTAGAGGCCGCAATTGTTGGCCAGGGGGCAAAATAAACGACTTGTCTCTTGCAGAAAAGCCTGTATGATGTTTGCCAGAGCGAATGAGGCTTCAAGTTGGCTTGACACGTCGCACATAGCCTGATGACCACGTCAGCCTCGCGCGGGGCCTCTAGGCTACAGCCACGACAACTCCTTACACAGCCTCAGACCGATGTTGACGGAACTCGTATTTCTTCCGAAATTGTATAGCGGATACCGCCTTATGAGCCTTTTTCTTCACGCAAAGATTTACCCCCGGTTGCACATTACATAGACGGAACCGAATCAGACCCGTCGGCGTACCAAGCCTTCCGCCAGAACTTGAAAGCCATCCCCATGCGGTTTAGCGCTGTCAGCCTCGGACTGTAACGCCTCTGTATTTTGGTGTGGTAATTGAGCATTCAATACCACAAAGGCTGTCTTATTAGTTTGACAAGAAGTTTTTCCTAATTGAATCTCCTCGTCTTGCGATCCTTTAGTAGTTAGCATTTGTTTTGGTTGTGCAAAATGACAGCAACAAGTACGCTCCCTGAAAGCGGGCATGAAGAGACCCCAAACCTTACGGGTATGATAGAAAAGTGTGTAGGGAATTTAGTGGACTTATCTAACGTCCTGACACAGATACTGAAGCTCCGGCTTCACTACATGAAAATTCGGCCGACGAAGAATCGGTTGTTGAATATACCCCGCGAGAGAGCGTCGACCTCGACAACATATGTCTACCAGAGTATACCCCACTGGTGACAAACGAAGAACGCACAATAGACGCAGAAGAGATTCGAAACACAAAGTCGCGTGTAGAAGACCAGTCCACAGAGCACGAGAATCATCCAACACAACGCTCGCTATCGCCGGCACACGAGGACCACCAAGGACAACTACCTCCTTCCCCAGCTTATGAAGAGCACCAAACACAGAGAACTGGCTCGCCAACATATGAAGACCATGATTCCCAAATATCTCTGCAACGGCCGTTAGACTCGCATTATCAGAATGATGATGTGCAGCAGGGCCGTTTTCCCGACGACCACACACCTATTGGAGAAGGCACGCCGCTCGTAGATCCAATATCTGCATCGCACGTACGCTACCACCACCTTGCCGACCCAGTAGTAGCAGAGAACCATGCTGGAGTATGCTCATGCAGTATACTGCACGACCGGCCCGCAGTGTGGCTAGTTAAGAAGAAGAAGAACATAGCACTCTCGAGTCTTGCGGCAGCCATACTAACCAAAGAAGGACTTTTAGAGGCCAAAGAGCTCCAGCTGTCAGTCGAGTACCATAAGCCCTGGCTAGAAACATGAATCAAGCTAACGATGATGCAAGCATTACTAAAGATACAGCCATGGAGCGTGACCCCACCGACCCCATATCTGGCGCCCTACTCGGCTGCTACGACGTTGTCGGTGGCATCATGCTGGGTCTCGCCGCGGGCCCTATCGAACTAGGCAAGCAAGCCAGTCCCTTATTCCACGCCTCGCATTCGGCCAAAGAGTCCCCTTCCCAGACCACCGAGGAAGAGCCTAAATCCACTTCTACACCTTCGTCAGACTCGAAACGCATACCCCATGCCGCCGGCAAAGTCGCGCTCGGCACGGCCAAGGGTCTTGGCCGCGTCGTAACAACCAGTCTAAAGAGCCCTGCGCTGATCATGCACAGCGTCACGAGGGGCTTCCACAATCTGCCCAAGACGTACGGCGAAGAGGTGCGGGTATACGAGGAGGTGACAGGATTAAGGAGCGGTCTGTTGGTGAGCGCAAAAAGCTTTGGCCACGGCCTTGGTGATGGCATCCGTGATTTTGCTACTAAACCCATTGATGGTGCAGAGAAGAACGGCATCATTGGGTTTAGTGCCGGCCTCGTGACGGGGATTGCCAACCTGGCTTTTAAGCCTGCTGCTGGTTAGTTCTCTTCTTTTTTTTAGTTGTGGCTCTTCTGAACTGGTCTGCTTCATTTGAATGTTTCTAACTTGGAAAAATTATTCTAGGCGCTTGCGGGCTTGTAGGGTACTCGTCGGTGGGCGTGTACAAGGCGATTCGGAACATTGGGTCGCCTAAGACTGAGGATCCAGCGGAGGCTATGATGAAAGTGGGGGAAGCGGAGTATCAGCATGTGAGTGATGCGGATAAATTGTTTATTGTTAGGCTTTGGTGCCAGATTCATATGCGCATACGGATAGATTAGGTTCTTGTCTGATTTCGAACATGTCGCAATGAAGCTGTACGTAACGATCTATAACTGCTCCCCTCTTCTCGTGAAGTATGGTCTAAGCCACTAGTCCTGTTGGTTTGATAATAGTTTTGGAGGATGTTCTGGCGCATGCCCGGTTGAGACCAAAACAATTGAAGAGTACCGAGCTTCGTAACCTTCATATCTCCGTATGATAGATACGAACAGGTCGCGATTTCGGTCATTTTAGTAGGCCCCGAGTAGTGTGTAGTCATCAATCAGGATTGAGATACGTTGTATATAAGCATGATCTGCTCGCTTCAACGCCTATTAGGAAGCGGAGGGCTGTTTCTTGTACTCCCAGAAAGTTGATCTTGTTAAGTAATGACTAAGCTGCCATTTCTGTGTTTGGTTAGTAGATGATGTCTTCTTTTGGCCATGCAACGTACCACGACTGTCTGTGTTTCAAAATACTTTGACCAACCTGGGTTCTCTGCAAGGTCGACAACAACGTCCCAAGGCCACTCTTCAGATTCGAGCTCGACGAGAGTAAAGTATTTGTGAAGATTCTTGTTATCCAAACAAGTTCTTTTCTGGTCTTTGTCCACAACGACTGCACGGTCGAGCTTAAAGAGACGAAAACGCAGCACATCAGGTGAGCTGGAAATGGTAGGTCCAACGACTTCATAGTAATACTTCAAAACTTCCTCTTCTTTGGCATCATCGACCGTCCATTCCATGGCTGCTATGCTCGCGACGTGTTCGATGTCTGGCAGAATTAGCCTCAGGGTGTGCTTCGTTCAGACCGATATTCTTACCTGGACTTCCGTTGCCCTCAAATTCTTCGTTCTGCCACCTTTTGACTTCTCGGTATGACCTGACGTCGAAGTTCACATGCTTGAGCGGATCAATTTTTGCCGCCTCCAGGTGATCAGACACGACATCGACTTTTTTGTTTGTCCGGGCAACATCTTTGACTTCGTAGACTGTAAGGAAGGGCCATGGCGCATCTAGTTTTCCGACTGGCTCATGCTCCATGCCGCTCGCAGTGACTTCGCAATGTATCGAGTGCATAGCTTCCACGTTGCGCTGTTGCGGCAAGAATTCGTTCTCGTACCATTCCACCGCTTCCTCTGACAGGTTTGCCCAGGCGCAGACAACACCTGACATCTTGCTCCAACTTGCTGCGGCGAATGGGACGTAGAGAGTAGTGTGTATTCGATGTCAGTCCAAACGTGCGAACCGCTCCTCCGAATCCAGTGGTGGCAGTCGTGGGCTAAGCAGCGAGCAGCGGGAATAAATGGGATGAGGACCAGGGAAGACAGATAGCATGCAACGTGACGCGGCCGGGACTAGTAAAGCTATGTACGCTGAAGCCCAAGGCACTATGCAGGATGATATCTGACGGCCGGCAGTAGTGGCCCGACCGCAATTTTCGCAACCAGACTATGTTAGCAGTATACGTAGCGGCGGTATGCGTGCCGTCAGCGAACCAATGGAAGCCAGCAGTGCTAAGTGTGATTGGCAGCGCAAACCTCAGAAGCAAGTGAAGAAATTCTTGCTGAGCATGGGCTAACGTGCATGCATAGTAGGAGATCAACGCTCTCCACCACGAGTCGCCTCCCCCTGACTCGGAGACAAAGACAGTGCGCCTGACGCGGGGATGTCCAAGACGTGTGCCAGACCTTGCATGGCTTGACCCGTATCCGTGTGCGGAGCAAAGTCCATCGGAGATTTTGCGGATAATCCTGATTGGTGCATACCAGGCGACGGCGTGTAGATGTAAGCAAATACTAGATAAAATGGCAGCACCCAAAGGCACCTCTTGCCCGGTGAGCCACAGCTGTATACGCCTTTTCAGGACTAGCGTCGGCATCTTTTCGGCATGTGGCTGACCCCTGCATCTGAGGTCGCCTGAAGGATGCTGCGCAACCTCTCCCAACACACTGGCCACCTCGTCGTACTGCTTATTAGTATACACCAGACATGTATGGCAGATGCGTAATGATATCTCCCTTGATTCACCGTCTACGAATGATTAAATCACCTTTCGGACCGGCCAAGGAAAAATAATGCCCTGCACATCGGTCGGCTCGGTACGTACTGCGCGGCCTTGCGCATGAAATGCAGAAACTTCGCCCCTCGTATCGTTTACTACACATGCTTATCAGATCTGGCCAATGTGTCCAGGATTTGAAATGAACAACACAGAAAGTGTCCGGATAACACCCGCACCACGTCAAGAAGGATATTGCATCTATGCGTACTTGATTGAGGTGAGCAGATCGGGGCCCACTGCCCCTGGTCTGACGGATTATATTACATACGTAGGGTGCTCGCTGTCAAGATGAGGCATTGTTTTGTGGCGTCGTCAAGTGCCAATGGAGCCACTGGATCCAGCTCGTTAAGCAGGGCGCCTCAGTACATGTATTTTCCCGCATCGGTGGTGTAATATGTAGCTTAAGAAGCCAATGAGAGATAGGAACGTCTCTCAAGGATCTCAACGAGGAAAGTTAAACGTTCACTTGGGCAGGGGTATACTTAGCCTTAGTTCTATCCTTGACAGCTTCACAACAAGCGGTGAGTTCGAGATATTCTCCAAGGCTGGAAGCGCCATGCGGCGAATATCAGTATCATTGCGTTCGTTATTTATGGACGAAGATGTTGAAGATCAGATACTTCCTCTAACCCTGACTGGCTTCTAGTAGAATATGTGGATACGCCAAGAGCCGACGGCTTACCATGCTAGATGATCTAGAGAATGTCGTACAGCATATAGTCTATGTGATCTACAGCTACCGAAACTTTCCGATCGAGCTGCAGCATGCTGAGTGTTGTTATGTGTTATTCCCATTGAAGCTGTACCTTGCAGTGGTTCAACAGGATGGTTTTACTACTATGACATGAAGTTTATTTCTTATAATAACAGCAGCTATATTTACTAAGAGTACATCTTAAGCCAGGTGAGGTTGGAAGTACCGACCATCCGTTGGTCAGTACATATAATAAGGACTCGATATGGCTAAATATGAATGAAATTGCAGGTTGCCTGTATCTAAACAACTTCATCCCACTCTTGGTGAAGATCATGCTTGACAAGATCAAGGCAACAAGCCAGAGTGCACAAGTCGGACACCCAGATCTGGACAAGCCGCGAGCCATCAAGGTTTTCGCCCCAGGTCTCTCATGTGCCCTATTAGGACTTGATTTTGCACTGTATTTACTGGTGAAAGTTCTCACTGTTGAAATGAGAAGATTGGGCTCATACAACATCCTGGATTCGATGTGACATGATGCAGAGAATTGTCACGTGATATGTCGTACACAGTAGCTTATGTCACGTGAGTGTTGCGAAGGAATGACGATATCCTTCACAATTCCGTGAATACCCGGTACCAACACTCGACGCGTCCCAACACGCAGCGTCATTCCAACAGGACAGTAGCTCACCTTTATCAACACACAAGCAAACCATTATTTTACAGTAGCCAACATGAGCACTAAGGAGGTTCCAACACTGACTCTCGCCGGCGCGCGCGTCGCGCTCGAAGCTGCAGAGGCACGAGCCAAAGAAATCAATGTCCCGATGAACATTGCCATTGTGGACAACGCCTGCCATCTTCTCGCATTCGCACGCATGGAAGGCGCTAAATTCACCTCAATCAACACTGCTATCGACAAGGCCTTTACCGCGGCTGGTCATCGCGCTCCAACTTCCATCTACAAAGACGTCGTCTGGCCTGGTGGACCCGCTTTCGGAATCAACCACAGCAACGGAGGCCGGTTTATGACGATTGCGGGTGGAGTTCCGATCAAGAAAGATGGAGCTGTTGTTGGAGCTATAGGATGTAGCACTGGGACGCCGAGTCAAGACGAGGATGTCGCGAGTAAGGGAGTGGAGGCTGTGGAGAAGAGCTTCAGGGTTCAGGCTAAACTTTGAGGAATGCGCTACTTCTTATCTTAGAGGGAACTGATAGTTCAGAAGTGAACTACTTCTTGTCGCCTCTCCCCCGACTTTTCCAAATGTATGGTTACATTGATTGCGAAGCTAAGTAGGGAGATGTTGATCACGGACCCACCTATTCAAGGGATGATAGTCACAAGCTACTGATTACTACACTAGTCGAGATCTTTGTGCAAATCAGAATCGCCAAAGCGCAATTAGATCGCCGTGATAACTGATCTATTGTTTGCCATAACAGGATGTCTTGCCTTTTCTTACGGACATCACTCGCAAATATACCAGAACGCGAAACCCCACTCATCTCATCCCAGGCTTCACGAACCATGGCCAAAGCAAAAGCATTCGAACTCAGATCAAAACCACTAAAGGAAGCAACTTTTATCCCCCAATGTTAAAACCCAAGCTTCCAAACGGCACACCTCAAGCAAAAAACCCCACACATACTACTTCACTGACAACATTGATCCTGAAAAAATCCGCGCTTCTCGGGTACCCCAACATACAAAAGCAACCCACAAAACAGTACCCAAAAAGCACCAAAACCAGCCCAAAATACATCTCAGCCAGGCCCTATAACCACTTGACCCTCCCCCGCTACCACCACCCTCCCCCCCATATCCCTTGCAAAAAAAAATCCCCCACCTTCCACCCTATCCAAACCTACACCCCCCTGACCCGACAAATCCCGAATCTTCAAAATATAAGTAAAATAAGTAATCACACCCATCCCACCCGGCCACATCCTAACCCTTGTCGACTTTTACCCCTCACTCTACAAACTTTATACCAAAACTCATGCTGATGTTCTCTCCGGTATCTCCGGCCCCTCTCCATCTACCTCTAGGACTTGCCCTTCAGTAAATGTATTGGGGTATCTTGGGGTAAGAAGAATTCGGATACTGGGATGGTGGGTAAAAGTCATACATAAGAGAGAAAGGACTGAAGGTGATAGGAGGAGGGGAAAAGAAGACCAGATAATTATTGATCCCGTCGACTGAAACATAGTAATATGTGTGAAATGACCTATTTATCCCACTTTTACCTTTCCTTTTTAAGCACTATCACAATCCCACGTGCGAAAAGATTGGAACAGACGACATGGAATATAACAAATAAAAAGGAGAATCGTTGCATTTCCCATATCGAATATAAAAAAAAACGCTATACAATCTCGTACCATTACTCCTACGCCTCCACTCCTCCACCCAGACATCGGTGTTTGGAAAGAAAGCAAGAAGAGAAAAAAAAAGAAGAGGCAAAACGGAGAGAAAGGACCCCCCTAACGTATATTGAAGTTTGTGTCGACAAGAGAGGAAGACAAAGGGAGTCCCCTCAATCAATCCGAATGCCAGTCACTCGCATTGCTCTCACCAAACTCGCTCCTATAGCGCCTAGATGATGCAAAAAAGCACAAAAAAGTCAACAAGCAAACACACACATAATCGCGAATAGTATATAAAAGATGAGAGACCGATAGGATAGAAGGAAAAAAAGAGAAAGAAAGAAAGAAGGAGAAGAACACTTACTCATCCCTAGCACCACTCTCCGAGCTCTCCCCTTGCATGGCCAATTTACTCACATCCAGCTTCGACAGGCCACTCTCACCAAGCGTATCACCACCCCACTTGCCCACGCCACCACCAGGGCCAACACCGCCTTCAACCAACGTCTTAAGCATATCCTTGAGCTCCGCGACTTCCTTCCTCAGCGCGCGGACCTCAAGAACCGCAGTGTCGAATTCAACATTGGGCTTGCAAGCCTGCACCTTCTTATCCCATCCATCAGCCTCAAAGTCGCAGCCCTGGAGCACCTGCTCCCACTCCATCGTCACGTCTTCGTCATCTTCGCCGCGACGCCGGTTTTCTTTTACAACCCAAGCCTCCTGCTGCTCGAGCATGGCGGTGATGAGGAGGAGCGGGGAGTAGATTACAGCCATGACCATATCGTTGAGACGATCGTAGCGTTTCTGATCCATCCACCATTCAAAGGGGAGGATGAGGAAGACCATTTCGATGAGATTGAACGGGGCAATGAAGACGTTTTCGTCGGGGGCGCGCACGAATTGCATTGTTTTCTGGGAGAAGAGCGCCATGTATTCGTCGATTGCGGCGGAGGTGATGTCTTCGTAGGCCGAGTTGTATAGGGCAATGAGGACATTGAGTAGGATGACCATGACAACAAAGGTAAAAATGTAGTAGAGGATTAT